ACATACAGCTAGTAATATTATATATATATATATATATATATATATATATATATATATATATATATATATATAAAATATATAATACACGTATTTAGAACGTGTTAAAAATTCGGCGCCTTTTTTTGCTCTTTTCGCTCCCCCTACAATGAAAACCTGGATACGCCTCTGGCTGGTGGTAAAATACAACACACAACTTCAACGGTCTGATAACAAATGTGACAAAAAGCTGCTTGTTTAAAACTTTGCAGCCGTGGGCGGGTGAATTTGACCTGTGTTTTAGCTACTTCAAAAAGGATTTTTAAATCTTTTAATCCTCTTCCTGGGCAGCTGATGTTTGAGGAGGGGGGGGGATCAAAGCTTTGTCACTGTTTTGTTGATCCATACTGTTCATTATAATCCTTGCACGTGTTTTTATAAGCGTATTAACGGCACAGTTGGATTGTTTGAGCGAGTACTCGTAGTTCTACTCAACGTTTTTATGTATATCCAGATTTCCATTCACTTTTAAAAAAAATAATTACAAAATCGATTGGAACTGTGAAAGCGTGTGAAAGCTGGATTTCATTTTTTACCCACAGAAAACCAGAGCATTAGCTAATGAATAATACAGGACAAAAAATGCATTATTTATTTATATTTTGTTTCTGTTTATAATAGTAGTCACAGTGGCGTAGCGAGGTCGGGTGTCACCCGGTGCGGCACTTAATGGTGTCACCCCCAGAGGCGTAGCGACCCTTCCCGGGGACAAATTTTCGATTTGCACCCCCTCAGGCTTTCGATTAGCACACCCCCCTCAAGTTTTCTCTATATATTTTGCTATTTTTTGCCTTGGTGTCACCCCCCTAAATGTTGTCACCCGGTGCGGTCCGCACCCCCGCCCCCCCCCCCTCGCTACGCCTCTGAGTAGTCATTCATGGTAATATTGGCAATAGCAGCGGATTATTGTCGTTAGTGTCTCTCTGGTTTAATGCAGCTACAAAGGATAATTGTAATAACTTTTTCTAAAAACTTAAAGAATGATTAGCATGTTTGTTTTTGCCGTAGTAAAAATAGTAAAATAATAATTATTTTAATTTGATGCAATCCCCACCACCCCTACTCCCACGTCTTTTAATTTTTCTCCTAGGGTCGGTACCGCTTCTCCCCTCTCCAAACATCAACAATTTTAAAAACATCTAGACCAATGAGATGACACGTAACTGAGAGAGCTACAGCCACGAGATACAAGGCGTTCAATGATTGGCTGGCGTTTATTACTTCGCGGTCTTCACTGCCGGAATATTAGTCCATGAATTTTTAATTACTTCTGTCTGGCAGGTGGTTGCAGGTGTCACGTGATTACCGTAATGGAGCTACGATGGAAGTTTCTAGACGCGGGAGAGCAAAAAAAAATCGATCGCTTCTCCAGTTAAAAATAATTTTCTTATCTATTGACAAAACATCAGCCACGTAGGTCAGTGGCGTAGGCAGGGGGGGGGTTAGGGGGGGTCATAACCCCCCCCCCCATAGACCCCTCGGTATATATAAAAAGTATGAGGGGGGGTGCAAATCGAAAGTTTGAGGGGGGGGGGGGGTGCAAATCGAAAGTTTGAGGGGGGGGGGGGGGGGGTGCAAATCGAAAGTTTGAGGGGGGGGGTGCAAATCGAAAGTTTGAGGGGGGGGGGGGTGCAAATCGAAAGTTTGTCCCCGGGTAAAAATTGGAACCCCCCCCTTGAGACGATCCTGGCTACGCCACTGACGTAGGTTTAATTACCAATGTCGTTTCTTAGAACAAGAAACACATGTTTGATGCCGGTATATATATATATATATATATATATATATATATATATATATATATATATATATATATATATATATATATATAATGAACACTCAAAACAGTAAGTGTAAAATGGAGGATTTCGACAAAAACAACCATTTTGGTCTAACTTCGCAACGTCCGTTTGTTTGTGGATTTGTGGCAAATCTTGTTACTTATTTTGACCAACTTCTAATAAAGCGATTTCGTTCAAACTTCCCAGATACGTTTTTCTTAAATGACGATGCATGATTATAATTTTTAAATTTAATTACAGTGACAATTCAATTTTAAAATTACTTTATTCAAAATAAAATAGGGGAGATAATCAGATAAATCCTAGCAAGCGATCGCTTGACCAAAAGGACCTCCGTGAGTGAACTGTCACGGTTGACTGGTTTCACTCCGCGCGTTGACTATGAACGACTGTAAGGTGCAGTCAACTATCTGTTAAAGATCACAAGCTACTGATCAGGTTATAACGCAACTGCTTTGAGTCTTAGCTGTAGTGTCATCTTCATTTCGAGCGAACGACTAAAAAGTGTACAATAAAATTAATATAAAAAAAACAACCTTTATAACAAGATTTTAAATGCATTGAAATTTTTTTTTAAAATGTGGTCGTTTAATTATCAGTTATATAAGAGTTCTTATGATCAACTAAAGCTTATTTTGAAATTTTTTTCCAGTTCATTTAAAAAGTGTTTATCTTTATTTTATCATAACTCTGAACACAGCTTGATTTGACACTATCAGAAGAGGTAATCCTATGTGTACGAAAACATAACGTAAAACTTCTACAAAAAATCTGAGCATATGGAGTATCTCATTTGTGTCAATAATTAAAATCTGTTCGATGAAACTGGGAAACATCTTTTATACCTACATATGTTGTCGTTTTAATATATAAATACATTTTAATGTATCGAGCCCGCAAAACATTTTTTAATCAATACAGTTTTATCAATTATTCCCCCCCCCCCCCCCAGGCGTTCGATGTTATTTGCTCACCAATTTTATGACCCAATCAAGTTACAGACAGCAGAAAATAAAAATCTACTGCTTGTACACACACCTCGTACCCCATGGTTATGCCATTAGTTTAATGCTTGTACACATAGCATCTATGCTATCGGCCTTCAGTTTGTACACACATCACGTACGCCGTGGTTATGCCATTAGTTTAATGCTTGTACACATATCATCTATGCTATCAGCCTTCAGTTTGTACACTCATCAAGTTACCCGTGGTTATACCACCAGGCTAGTGCTTGTACACATATCATCTATGCTATCGGCCTTCAGTTTGTACACACACCACGTACACCAGGGTTATGCCATCAGTCCAGTAGTTGTACACTTATTCTCTATCTGGTCAGCCTACATCTCGTACACAAAGTATCTACCCCATTGTTATGCTATGAACCTACATCTTCAACACCCATCATCTACCCATTGTTATGCCATCAGACCCATCATCTACCCATTGTTATGCCATCAGACCCATCATCTACCCATCGTTATGCCATCAGACCCATCATCTACCCATTGTTATGCCATCAGACCCATCATCTACCCATCGTTATGCCATCAGACCCATCATCTACCCATTGTTATGCCATCAGACCCATCATCTACCCATTGTTATGCCATCAGACCCATCATCTACCCATTGTTATGCCATCAGACCCATCATCTACCCCATTGTTATGCCATCAGACTCATCATCTACCCATTGTTATGCCATCAGACCCATCATCTACCCATTGTTATGCCATCCGACCCATCATCTACCCATTGTTATGCCATCAGACCCATCATATACCCCATTGTTATGCTATCATTCCAGTGCTTGTAAACCTAATCTCTAGCATATTGTTACAATGTATTCTCGTGTCATTTGGAGCATTGTTTTTCTCCTATATCATTGTGTTTCTGAGCGTGTAATTGCTATCATTGCATTCGAATTGCTAATCAATTTCTGTTTAGTATCCAGGTTTTTTAACGTTGGACTGGAGGGGGGGGGGGGGGGGGGGGTGGAGGTGGGTCAGAACTGGTAAGCTGGCGTTTTGTTTTCCGAAAGGGGTGCAATAAACACTCTGGGTACATCTATGAGTTGAGATCACAGAAGACTAAATAGATATTATTTTCTGGTTTTAAATTGGGGATTTTTTTCTTAACAAAGTTTAAATACGTTTTGATAGCACGGGATTTTGATATTTTAAGAGGGAGTGGTCCAAACCATGTTGGATCTAGACGCTTATGTAACACCGGGAACAAGTTCAAATACCGCCTTATTAATATAATAACATAATCTTAACGCTAGGCTAACCCGAAAGTCTCGAGTTCGAATCCGGGTTCCAGCCAGTATAAGAGTCCACTCAGCTCTGATGGGTACCCAACTCATGTTAGGGAAAGTACAGGCGGCTGGGCAAAGTGCTGACCAAACCTTCTATTCATATGCTGAGGTCAAGAAACAGATGTACTCTACTTCATCTGACTAATGGATAGCTAGGTCTAAAGATGATTATTTACATCATTTGAAGCCATTCCTCTATGAGGAAATGACGTCTTGTGAAGTTTTTCTTTTGGGAAAAGGACATTGCACACCATCTTAACAATGAGAAAATGACTTCTCATTCAGACGTCAAAATGAGGAAATGACTTCTCCTTCAAATGTCAAAAAAATGACTTCTCATTCAGACGCCACAATAAGAATATGACATCCCTTTTAACTACAGCAACGCAAAAATGACGTCCGTAGAACTACAACAATGAGAAAATGACGTCCACTACAACTACAACAATGAGAAAAGACGTCCCTTACAACTACAACAATGAGAAAAATGACGTCCCGTACAACTACAAAAATGAGAAAATGACGTCCCTTACAACTTCAATGAGAAAATGGCGTCCCGTACACCTACAAGGAGAAAATGACGTCCCTTACAAATACAACGTAAAAATGACGTCTCTTACAACTACAACAATGAGAAAATGACGTCCCCTACAACTACAAGAATGAGAAAATGACGTCCCCTACGACTATAACAATGAGAAAATAACGTCCCTTACAACTACAAGAATGAGAAAATGACGTCCCTTAGAGCTACAACAATAAGAAAATGACGTCCCTTACAACAACAACAATGAGAAAATGACGTCCCTAAAGCCCTACAGCAGAACAGCACTGACTTACTTGAAGGGAATGAACACCAGGACGTCTGCAGTCCGCCAGTCGGACGTGTACGTGCATGACGTCATCAGACAGCCGCGCTGGTGCAGCACCGTGGCGTAGAAGCACGGCCGTCTGGTGTTGTTGCACGGCATCACGATAGAGAACGTCCTAGCCCGAACAGGTTTCGAACCCGGCTCTTTCACGATGAATTTCTCATTACGGGATAAAGGGTTGGAGCTGAAGCTGCTAGTTCCGGTCTGTCTGCGCATGTACTGTTCTATATTTAGCTTCAAGTTCGTGGTGTTCTGTAAGCTGGTTATAGATGAAAATCGAGGATCTTTGTAAACGATGAATGGAGATACAAAGGTGTCTTTTGGTGTGTCGGGTCTATTATTATCAGGTGTGTCTTCTGAATTCCCCTCCTGTGTGTCTTGGTGAGCAAGTGCTGATGTGTCTTTACGGACATTTGTATACTGATATGAGGCAACGCTTCGACCCCCTGCCTTGACCTGCCAGTGTCCCCGGGGGTCATCAGACCCAAGTGACCCCTCTGACCCAGGGGTTTCCCTCTCTATATCCACCAGAGTAATTTCTGTTGAATAAAACATCACAATATTAACGCCAAAAAGTTTTTGAAAATCCAAACCTTTAAATTAATAGGATAAAACTTCCAAACTTCAAAAGTATTTTAAAAAATGTAAACCCAAAATTCAATCAAATGAAAAATATAAAGTGTAATGATAATAAGCTAAATATTTGAATGTTTAAGTAAATTTGTAATATTTAGACTACTGAGGCAGTAAAAAACCATATAGATGGACGAGGAAAACAATAATAAATGGTGATAATATCTAAAAAAATATTAAAGTACATTTTAATGTATAGTAAGTAAAGTAAAGTTTCCCTTTCAAATCTGACGGTCTATGGGGCAAGTGAAGTAGAGTTCACTTGTTTCTGTGACCTCGGCATATGAAGAGATAGTGTGGTCAGCACTATGCCCAGCCGCCTTTACTCTACCTAACGTGAGTTAGGTACCCATCAGAGTTGGGTGGACTCAGGGACGGTCTACTGACCACTCCGTCCCACTTTAATGTATAGTAGACTCACTAAAAATATGACTTGTATATTTTGAATAATTATGCTTTTAAATCTTTTTAGTATTATTTTCTTTGAATTTAATTTTAATATATTGTCAAGAAATCAGAAAAAAATCACTTATGTATATTGCATAATTAAACATTTTACCTATCTTCCAATTAAACGTTTCTATTAATTACAATTTTATATATTTGCAAGAAACCCGAAAAAAATAGAACTTTGTTGTTTTTAACTGCAAGTAGCCGGTAATAAAATTGTATTTTCATTGACAGCAGAGTGTTAAAAGAACAACAAAAATCAATATAGCAGATGTTACGTTAAAGTTGAGTTTAGTTAAAATATTTTTACAAACTTTACACCAACGATAATTCTACGCACTAAAATGAGAAAGTTCTATAAAACCTGCTTCCATTCATATTAAAATAATAATATTCTCTCCAGAAATAATTCAATATTCTAGCGACAAAGCTAAAACGACTTTTTATTTATCTAAAAATACTTTTTAATATCTAAAAATTTTAAAAACTTCTCCAAACACGACATGTAAAATGAAACCCAGACAAACAGAGAAACAATATTGTATGACTATCATACTCAAATTTAAAAAAAACAAAAACAAACTTAGTATAAGAAAAAAAATATTGATCAATCAAGTTTAAGCGCTAGACTTCTTGACACTAGTGTGTATTACACTTAACGTTACATGTTACATTAATCTGTTTTTGAACATTACATGTCTGGCCTTCACTAATTAACACTAATGTATTACATAGTTAGCAATTAGTGTCATTATATAATGACAGTAATCTTGTAATTATTTTCAGCAATACATATTTACTAGTAGAACCCACGATGCAAAATACATTTATAAGTTATGTGAATGAAAACTAAACAAATCACACAAAAAAAAAAAGCAATTAAAAAAAACCTACCTGGCTCATTGGTATCCGAACTCAGGACCGAGTAATTCCGGGGTAACGATATGATGAAGGTTTCACTAAAACAAGTTGCGAGTATCATGGACACGACTATCACACAGAGCAGGCTCAAGAAACAGGCGATCTTCCAAGGTGTCTGGCACCGTCTTATCCTCAGTATCGTCATTATTTTGTTGTACCTGGGTCAAAGGTAACTTTACACCTGGGCCAAAGGTAAGTTTACACCTGGGCCAAAGGTAAGTTTACATGGGTTCACACCTGGACCAACTGTAACTTTACACCTGGACCATGGTTAAGTTTACACCTGGACCAAAGGTAACTTTACACCTGAACCTTAGGTAAGTTTACAACTAGACCAACTGTAACATTACAACTAGACCAACTGTAACTTTACACCTGGACCAACTGTAACTTTACACCTGGCCCAACTGTAACTTTACACCTAGACCAACTGTAACTTTACACCTGGACCAACTGTAACTTTACACCTGGACCAACTGTAACTTTACACCTGGGCCAAAGGTAACTTGACACCTGGACCAACTGTAACTTTACACCTGGACCAACTGTAACTTTACACCTGGACCAACTGTAACTTTACACCTGGACCAAAGGTAACTTTACACCTGGGCCAACTGTAACTTTACACCTGGACCAACTGTAACTTTACACCTGGACCAACTGTAACTTTACACCTGGACCAAAGGTAAGTTTACCCTCTGGACCAACTGTAACATTACACCTGCTCCAACTGTAACTTTACACCTGAACCAACTGTAACTTTACACCTGGAACAGGAACTTTACACCTGGGCCAACTGTAACTTTACACCTGGGCCAAAGGTAAGCTTACACCTGGGCCAACTGTAACTTTACACCTGGCAACTGTAACATTACACCTGGACCAACTGTAACTTTACACCTGGACCAACTGTAACTTTACACCTGGACCAACAGTAACATTACACCTGTCACAACAGCAACACTACACCACTGCCCATGTCGACTTACCACCGCGACAGAAATCATCGTCAAGCTAAACATGGCTCACACGTACAACGCAAAAATCAATGACGTTTTCCCCACCCCCCACTCCCCCGCCGTCTCGTCACTGAGTTGTATCTTTTGTTTAGATTGGCTAACTTTTTGACCTCGGCACTGTGTGTGGGAGTGAGGGGGTGGGGGTGAGGGTGGGGGGAGATCGAACAATCATCACAGTTTACCGCACGTGAGAGCCGGCAGAGAGTGAGTACACAAATCGGACAAGTGTTTGAGCATTATTTGACGACTCAGCCGAATTTGTGGGCTAGGGAGTCATGCCTTTCTGTACTTGATTTTATTATTTTTTTTTTCACTTCTATACCACACCAGCTTATAACATTTTAGATCATGCTGTACTCAAACACAAAATATTTTATACAAAGGCTACACTTGAACGTAGCACATTTTACATCTACTCAACACTCTCCCATAAAGTAATCCACATATGTCACATATTCACACATTACATATTTCACATCTATCCAACACTGTCCCATACTATAAATTCCAGTGATTTCATTAGCAGCCCACCAACCCACCAACCCACCAACCCACCAACCCACCAACCCACCAACCCACCAACCCACCAACCCACCAACCCACCAACCCACCAACTCACCAACCCACCAACTCACCAACTCACCAACTCACCAACCCACCAACCCACCAACCCACCAACCCACCATCCCACCAACCCACCAACCAACCAACCCACTAACCCACCAACCCACCAACCCACCAACCTACCAACCCACCAACCCACCAACCCACCAACCCACCAACCCACCAACCAACCAACCCACTAACCCACCAACCCACCAACCCACCAACCCACCAACCCACCAACTCACCAACCCACCAACTCCCCAACTCACCAACTCACCAACTCACCAACCCACCAACTCACCAACCCACCAACCCACCAACCCACCAACCCACCAACCCACTAACCCACCAACTCAACAACCCACCAACCCACCAACCAACCCACCAACTCACCAACCCAACCAACTCACCAACTCACCAACCCACCAACCCACCAACTCCCCAACTCACCAACTCACCAACCCACCAACTCACCAACCCACCAACTCACCAACCCACAACTCACCAACCCACCAACCCACCAACCCACCAACCCACCATCCCACCAACCCACCAACCAACCAACCCACTAACCCACCAACCCACCAACTCACCAACCCACCAACCAACCAACCCACTAACCCACCAACCCACCATCCCACCAACTCACCAACTCCCCAACTCACCAACTCCCCAACTCACCAACTCACCAACCCACCAACTCACCAACCCACCAACTCACCAACCCACAACTCACCAACCCACCAACCCACCAACCCACCATCCCACCAACCCACCAACCCACCAACCCACCAACCCACCAACCCACCAACCCACCATCCCACCAACCCACCAACCAACCAACCCACTAACCCACCAACCCACCATCCCACCAACTCACCAACTCACCAACCCACCAACCCACCAACCCACTAACCCACCAACTCACCAACCCACCAACTCACCAACCCACAACTCACCAACCCACCAACCCACCAACTCCCCAACTCACCAACTCACCAACCCACCAACTCACCAACCCACCAACCCACCAACCCACCAACCCACCAACCCACCAACCCACTAACCCACCAAATCACCAACCCAACCAACTCACCAACCCACCAACCCACCAACTCACCAACCCACCAACCCACCAACTCCCCAACTCACCAACTCACCAACCCACCAACTCACCAACCCACCAACTCACCAACCCACAACTCACCAACCCACCAACCCACCAACCCACCAACTCACCAACTCACCAACTCACCAGCCCACCAACTCACCAACTCACCAACCCACCAACTCCCCAACTCACCAACTCACCAACCCACCAACTCACCAACCCACCAACCCACCAACCCACCAACCCACCAACCCACTAACCCACCAACTCACCAACCCAACCAACTCACCAACCCACCAACCCACCAACTCACCAACCCACCAACCCACCAACTCCCCAACTCACCAACTCACCAACCCACCAACCCACTAACCCACCAACTCACCAACCCTCCAACTCACCAACCCACCAACCCACCAACCCACTAACCCACCAACTCACCAACCCACCAACCCACCAACCCACCAACCAACCCACCAACTCACCAACCCAACCAACTCACCAACTCACCAACCCACCAACCCACCAACTCCCCAACTCACCAACTCACCAACCCACCAACTCACCAACCCACCAACTCACCAACCCACAACTCACCAACCCACCAACCCACCAACCCACCAACCCACCATCCCACCAACCCACCAACCAACCAACCCACTAACCCACCAACCCACCAACCCACCAACCCACCAACCAACCAACCCACTAACCCACCAACCTACCATCCCACCAACTCACCAACTCCCCAACTCACCAACTCCCCAACTCACCAACTCACCAACCCACCAACTCACCAACCCACCAACTCACCAACCCACAACTCACCAACCCACCAACCCACCAACCCACCATCCCACCAACCCACCAACCCACCAACCCACCAACCCACCAACCCACCAACCCACCATCCCACCAACCCACCAACCAACCAACCAACCCACTAACCCACCAACCCACCATCCCACCAACTCACCAACTCACCAACCCACCAACCCACCAACCCAATAACCCACCAACTCACCAACCCACCAACTCACTAACCCACAACTCACCAACCCACCAACCCACCAACTCCCCAACTCACCAACTCACCAACTCCCGTCTTCCGATTTTATTTGCCACTCTACCATTAGCTGCCTCCCACTTCACTGCTGTTTTATTTACTACCACCCTCTTACCGATTTCATTTAGCCCCCACCCCACCCTCTTACCGATTTCATTTAGCCCCCCCCCCCACCCTCTTACCGATTACATTTACCCCCCACCCTCTTACCGATTACATTTACCCCCCCCCCCCACCCTCTCTAACCATCCCCCCTCCTCCCCGTCTAAGTGATTCCATTTAACTTCATCTAATTTCATTTGACCCCCCCCCCCCCATCTAACAGATTCCATTGAATCTCGCACTATATTACAGATTCTATTGACCCCCCCTCTATTAAAGCCTCCTGTTACTTATTTATTTTGAACCCCCTTAACTGATTCCATTAGACCTCCTCTAATTGATTCTGTTTGACCCCTCTGTGATTCTTTCTATTCAACCCCTTCTAACTTATTCCTTTAGACCCCTTCTAGCCGACTGTATTCGACCCCTCCCCTCCAAGTAATTCTATTGAACCCCTCTCTGATTCCATCTGACCACCTCTCTCACAGAATCTATTCACATCCCCACGATTCCGCATTTTGGATCTACCCCAAGCACAACTTGAATAACTTGGCCTAGATGATTCTACAAACTTACATCACGATCAATTCCCCCGCCCCACCCCATGACTGACTTTAAGTCTCTCACACAACACATGTGGCGGGAAAACAGCACAGTATACACAACCCGATCAAACCAAAGGTCCCCCTAGAGCTGTCTTAGCTCTATTCAGTACTGGACCTAAGTTAGTATATCAGTATGTTACAAACACGACATACATAGACCCAAAGAGTCGACCTAGGTATTATCATTACCAAAACAATGTTAGTAATATGTAGTACTAAATCACATAAAAACTTAACATGTACCGCTGAGTCAACCCAGCTCTAATAAGTACCAAACACATGTTGGATATTATCAGAATTAAAAATCCCAAATAAAAACGTTATTATACTGCTGAGCCAATCCAGCTCTAATAAGTACCAAACACATGTTGGATATTATCAGAATTAAAAACCCAAATAAAAACGTTAGTGTACTGCTGAAGCAACCCATCTTTAATTAGTACCAGACACAATTTAGAAACTCGCATTACTAAAATCTCTGCACCCCCCCCCCACCCCCCCCCTAAAAAATAAAATATATTTCTATGTTAACCTAACTAATGAGCCTTGGATAGAATTTTATATATAATAAAAAGACATGCAAATCAACTCAATATTTTCATACGTGAGTTAACAGAAACATCAACTTTACATTGTATACAATA